CGAGAAGAAGCTACTAACTTCACAAACTACCATAAAAACCTAATACATGCATACAGAAGCAGCAGCAAGGAAAAATGTGTCACATATACTGTACCCTATTGGTGGAACGACGAGATACAGCTTAAAAGAACAAAATGTTTCAGAGTCAGGCGAATAGCACAAAGGAACAGGACCCAAGAAAACTTGGAAGAATATAAGCGCGTAAAGAAAGAACTAAATAAAGAAATAAAGCGGGCTAAACGCACATGCTGGCAGAACCTGTGTGACACGCTGGACAACGATATATGGGGTGAAGCCTATAAAATTGCCACTAAGACACTGAGGTCCGAGGCTCCATATAACCTTTGTGTAGAAAAAAGAAAGGAAATTGCGAAAGCCCTTTTTCCTAATAAGCCCGAATGCCAATTTCTACCATATACTCTAGATAATAGACCTGACGAGTTCACCATAGATGAAATAAGATTAGCTGCCGAAAACATAAAAATCGGGAGATCCCCTGGCCCAGATGGTGTGCCACCAGAAGCCATACATATTATGGTACAGGAAAATCCTGAAGTCACCAGAAAGGTATTAAATGAGCTCCTACACAACCAAGAATTCCCAGACCAATTGAAGATTGCAAATTTAGTCTTAATCTTAAAACCTGGTAAACCACCAGACGGGCCTAGTTCATACAGGCCTATATGTTTATTAGATTGTATTGGGAAATTCTATGAAAGCCTCATAAAACGCCGCCTTGAACAGGTGCTCTTAAACACAGGAGCTATTTCTGACCAGCAATACGGTTTTAGAAAAACACGATCAGCTATAGACGCGGTAAAATTTATATGTGATACAGTCAAACAAACAAGAAATAAATGGGCAATCCTTGTTATGTTCGATGTAAAGAATGCCTTCAATTCTGCCAATTGGGCATACATCATAAGGAAACTGGAAACCGCTGGAGTGTCAGACTACCTAATAAATATAATTAAAAATTACCTCACCGACAGATATATTAAAGTGTCAAACAAAGAAAAAACAAAACTATCGGCTGGAGTACCGCAGGGATCTGTATTAGGTCCAACGTTGTGGAACGTCTTGTATAACACAGTATTGGAAATAGATTACGGCAGAGGTGCGTCAGCAATTGCATATGCAGATGACTTAGCAATACTAATAGAGGGTGACACAAACTTGGATGCAATAAATAAAGTTAATATATGCTGGAGAAAAGTTAATAGGTGGATGACAACTAACGACTTACAGCTGGCGTGTAATAAAACAGAGATAATTATATTAAAAGGGCCTAGAGCGATACCCAACCTGACTTTCCAATTTGCAAGTACGACGATAGTCCCAACCAATTGTGCTAAATATCTAGGCATACACCTTGATACAGGTCTACGATTTACCAAACACCTGATAAATGTAGTCCAAGCAGCAGAACGCAGAACAGCGGCCATTATGAAAATAATGCCTAATATAGGAGGGCCAAGTAATTATAAAAGAAGAATGTACTTGCAAATAGTGCATTCGACCCTTTTGTACGGTGCCCCCGTATGGATTGAAGTCTTAAGGTTTGCCAGGCACAAAGACTTGATTACAAAAGCTCAAAGAAAGCCCCTTCTTAAAGTAGTTAGTGCGTACCGGACTACATCTACGATAGCCTTACAGGTGATTGCTGGTACGCTCCCCATTCACCTCCTAGCGAAAGAAAGAGCCATCCTATACAATAACGGCAACGGCCACCTGACACAGGTAAGAGACGAAATTAGGAACCAGATCCTTGATGAATGGCAATCTGAATGGGAGGCACAAAGGGAAAAAGCACAATGGACTAAAATACTAATACCCGATGTAAAAGCATGGTACAAATGTAGGTTCAAGAGAATAAACTATTTCTTTGCACAATTCCTGACCGGACACGGTTCTTTTAGGTCGTATACATACAGAATTAAAAAAACAAATGACGATATCTGTATGGATTGTGGTGTGACTGATGACGCGGAACATTGCATTTTCGAATGTAATGTCTTTCTACAAGAACGTCAAAGACTGAGAATTAAGCTAGGAGAGGTCACGCCCAATAATATACTGGACTTAGCTATGCAGAACAGAAAGAACTATGATTATGTGTTAGAAATAATAACGGAAATCATAAAAAAAAAGGAGACGCTAGAAAGAGCGAGACAGGATGAAGGAATAGGCTGAAAGACTAATAAAATAATTGTAATTCGCGTTTTTTTGCTCATTAGACACATACTTCAGCGTTCTGTACTAATTTTATAGTGAAACTGTCCTATTTACTTACTTATATTGTTTTTTTATACTGTCATTATGTCACTCAGCTACCTTTGAGACTCTCTACCGAGGACAATACTAGGTTTTCGTGAAAATTGGAGACCGCGGTGGTGCTCCCGAAGTTGCATTCGCCAAGAAAAGTTCCGGGTGCGCTGCTGGAAGAGAGGGTGAGTTTAGTTGGTAGGCGCCTGAACTAACCTTATCAACATTCCAACGTTATAGTTCAGACGAATCCAACAGTATCTGGGTCCTCTTCCCAGATCTCTTTAGAAGATTCTCATCCAAAAAAAAAAAAAAAAATATGTAATAACACTAAGGTAAGTTAACTACGTAGTTGTCACATACTTTTTAAGTATTTTAAAAATATATATATTGATGTGTTTTGTTTATTTAGTTTTTAACAATGTTTCTACTGTTTCTTGTATTTTTTTTAATACAAAAAAAATATAGGAAAAATACATTTTATAAAATAAATCTTTATTTTATTTTATAAAATATATTTTTTTAATATATTGTATTTAATTGATAGCTGAGTGCCTACAGTAACATATATTTCAATCTAACTTATACAGGTGTTATTAAATATTTGCTTATATTTTTCTTTAAGTAATTGGTTATGTTTTATACAATTTCATCCTGAGCATTCATACATATTACTTTGGGAATGTTCCTGTCTTGAAATGTACATTTTGTTAAAGTTTTAATTTCTTCATTGTGGTAGTTTTATGGTTAAGAAGATTACAATGGTCAGCGGATTAAAATTTTCTGAATAATTTACATTTTATTGTTACCCGGTTTGCATGAAATTATTTGGATAAGAGCCTTTAATTTTACCTACCTCTAATCCTTCTAAACAATTACTAATATTCAAATTAACACATTTATTCGCTCTTTGATTTTTGATAAAAAGGTCAAAATGTCATCCCAGACCAAACAAACTAAATCTAGTCGCGAAATAGCATCCGCAGTAAACTGTAATCAATCTACAGTAATTAGAGTCATTAAGAAGTATACTGAACAAGGAAAAATCGACGAGAGACAGCGTAGTGGCCGACCAAAGAAAACGTCTGTTCGAGATGACGCTGCGTTAAGAAGAACAAGTCTGGCAGACAGAAGCCTTAATTCCACCCAATTAACAAAGCTGTGATCTGAATCTACAGGTGTAACCGTATGCACTTCCACTGTAAGAAAAAGACGGCTTAGTTTTGGACTTAGAGGATGTAAGGTACGGAAGAAACCACTGCTTTCAGAAAAGCAAAGACTGCACCGTTTGAAATGGGCCAAGGAACATCGAATCTGGACAGCAGAGGGTACTGTTTAGTGATGAATCCCTTTTCAATATTAATAATCATGCTCGAAATGCCTACGCAGAAAATTTCCTAGTGAAGAATTTTCTCCAAAATGTGTTCTTCCCACAATTAAACATCCAACCTCCGTTGTGATATGGGGTTCTAGGTCCGCTAGAGGGGTTGGTCGCCTACACGTTGTCTCTGGGATGATGAATGCTACCAAATACATTGAGGTACTACAGAATAAGATGCTGCGTAGTGGAAAAGACCTGTTTGTCGAAAAAAAAAAAATTTATTTTTCAGGATGATAATGCTCCTTGCCATAGAGCAAAATTGGTTAAAGCTTGGATGAAAAATAATGAAATCGATAGGATGAACTGGCCAGCGCAATCCGCGGACCTGAATCCCATCGAGAATTTGTGGCAAAGGATATTAAACATCATTTCCAAAAGCAAACCCACAAATAAAACGAAATTAATCGAATCTCCAATCCACACCAAAATTAATAAATTCCATGCCCAAAAGATGTGAACTAGTTATTAAAAACAAGGGCTGGCAAATTAAATATTAAAATTAGTTTAAATTATTTCAATGTGATGTACAATATCGTCTTGATGTAAATAGCCTAATATTTGTAATATTGAATACAAAAATTTTCCGAACAAAATTTTTTTTATTAATCAAAATTTTTGCTATGTCTTTTTATAATATTGTGTTTAAGTGCTTGTTTGATGTAGATAGTAAATGGTTAAAAAATAATTAAGGTGAATGCCTTAAACTTCTATTTTCATGCAATTGGTAAGGTGATGCAGGACTTTTTAACACCACTGTATATACAAATGGATTGTTCTCAAAAAACTTTCCAGAAAAAAATCAAAACCATATTAAAAAACTGTTGGGAGGGGAACGAAGAGTAATATTAAAGCTTCTCACATACTCACAGAGATCTCCCAAAATTATATAGGAAATGTATGTGCCACAGTATTTTACATAACTTTATTATTAACCACAAATATTACACATTTATTTTAACTAATAAAATAAAATGTAAGATAGAGGTTTACCTAACAAAGTAGTGAAATAATGTAGAACATATAAGAGATCCTTCTTCATATCAATAATAAAGAAGAATCTTTAATTTTCCGTTAAATACAAGTTAATTCACAAAATTATATAAAATTTGGATTTGACATAAATTGTCAACAATTTTTTAACAACAAAAGAAATCAACAAAACGGCAAACCATAATCGTGCAATAAAATGGATGTCAACCGAATACAACTGCTGAATATTCTTGTTTTATAGACACCTAAAAGACACCAACTCTGGGAAAAGGTCAAAACAAAACTGTAGGAGAAGAATCCAGTAAATACTTAGACTTTTAATTTTAAGATTATACATATGTAGAAAAATTCATTATTTACTAACCTGTGATATAGCTGCAGCCAATTTATCAAGCAACAGGGAAGCAACATTGTATTCAGAGTCATCAAATAACTCAACCAATGCTTTTTTGTCGCACATATCCACAACTTTCATTGTAAATGTGTTTTCCAATAGCAGTTCCTCCAATAAACCATCCCTTACGACATCAGGTTCCATCTTTTGGTATCCGTTGAGACAACATTCAATAGCTTGAGGTTTAAGAACCGTTAGAATTTCCCCTTCGATGTTTTTCAGCTGGTCTATAGGGACTGATTCCTCGTTTCCATAGTCTATGTAGCGAACTGTGACTAAATTTCCCGACATTTCTGTAACTTGCGATCTATACCACATCTGGTCTTCGCTGTATTGGGCACAACAAGGAATTCCTGGTTTGATGGAAGATAATTCCATGAAAGAACTATCTAGACACAAGCTTTGAAGCTCTTCCATAAGAGTTGTTAGTTCCTGTTCTTTTTTTACTAATTGAACATAGAATCTGCAAAAAATGACAACAGAATCTACAATTACCCCACGTACTTAAAAGATTTTTGAGCTCTTGCAAGCATTTGTAATATACCAAGGAAATAATTTGAACAAAGTAAAGAAATGTTCCAAAATTAACTTATAGCACCAAAACCACTTACCGGTTGCAACTGTAGACGTAACTAACTTTAACTGGCTGGCTAAAACCTCTCATTAAAATTACTGGCTCGGGATAAGAGTGTTTTGCTGCTCTAATGACAACATCGAGTGCACTGGTCATAGTTTCCGGATCCCAGAGTTCGCATTTGGGTAAAGCTGTTCTAGTAGGGGATGGTAAAACTTTCATATGCAATAACCTATTGTCTACAAACTTTTTGAAAGCACTTCTCATATCAATTGTAACAGTTGCTTTATCTACTCCAGCTAGGGAGAAACGTATGGCCATTACTTTCGGCAGAACATATTTGAATGGAATTTGGTAAAGGCATTCCAATGGTAGTACTTCGTAATTTCCGAAGTCTACAAAGAAAACCTAAAAAATATAATATTATTGTATAACTAACCAGAACTAATAACACTAGAATTTACGATGATTATACCAAAGCAGTCTGATAAGTTCTCGGTCTCTTCTAAAGATTGCAGTATTACTCGCTTGATTTTGTTTAAATGCATTATAATATTGCAAGTAATTCCAGGGAGCATAAACTAAATTATATCTGCAAGACAAAATATGTGTGGCTTGTAATTTGTATAGAGACTCTAACTTGCAATGTTAAGAAATGGTGTATAAATGTGTGTAAAATTGCAAATGTTCTAAGGATTTCACAGGTATACGTTAGGTCACATCTGATATTACATAAAACATTAATAGTTTGACGACAGACCAAATATTTGTGCTAAAAGAAATCCAGACCCATTTTGTGGTGTTTGGATTTTTTTGATAAAATGTCATCTATGGGAAAAATCGGTGACTACTAATTGTAAAGTTAATATGGCTGGACTAGCGCTGCGTATGAAGAAACATATTGAAAAATGTGTTAATCATCATCAAAAAGCCTGCTTGCGATGTGCGAAGCAAGGTGGTTTAAGAATGAAGCCGTTATAAGATTCAAGAAAATTTATTCAGCGGTTATGCATTCTCTCGAAAAATCTAGCCACAATAAAGAAATAGCGTAATAAGCCATCCAAATACACTTCGATCTTCGAATTTTGTTATGTGCCTAGTGATTCTTTAGAAAGTCTTGAGCTATACATTCTCGTTATCAAAGTCACTGCAGGCAATTAACGCAAACCTCATAACGGCATTTAGCCACGTGGATGATGTTATTAATGCTTTACAAATTTTGAGATTAAGTTGACCAATAGTACCAGTACATTATGCTTGTGAACGGCGAAGTCATCAATAATTTGCGATATGCGGACGATACAGTACTCCTAGCTTCTAGTCAAGAAGATCTGCAAACACTACTTGATATTGTCGTTGAGAGTTGTAGGGAGGCAGGTCTGGATCTTAACATAAGGAAAACCAAAATAGTCGTAATAAGTAAACAGCATATAAAACCGTCTATATATGTAAATAATACCAAACTTGAGTAAGTTGATAAAATCGTTTACCTTGGACAGCAATTACATTGTAACTCAGAAAGTCACGGCGAAATTAGATCCAGGATAGAGCAGGCTAGAGCTGCTTTTAGAAGGATGTCCAAGGTGTTATGTAAGAGCTAAAACTGGCATTAAGGATCCACCTACTTCGCTGCTACGTGTTCTCGGTCTTACTTTATGCTGTCGAGTCCTGGACCGTGAATAAAATCGATCTAAATCGCCTTGAGGCTTTCGAAATGTGGTGCTATAGAATAATTTTAAAAGTTTTCTGGGTGAAGAAGATTCGAAACTCCACAATACTAGAACGTCTCAGCAAGACTACTGAGATCATAAAAAGCATCAAGCAGAGAAAGCTTGAGTATTTCGGACATGTAATGAGAGGTCCCAAATATAGGTTGCTACAAAATATAATGCAAGGAAAACTAGCAGGCAAACGCAGTCCAGGACGAAGAAGAACCTCATGGTTGAAGAACTTGCGAGATTGGTATGGTGTTGATACAAGCATGCTATTTAGGGTGGCAGTGAATAAAATTAAGATAGCTATGATGGTAACCAACGTTCTGAAAGGACATGGTACATGAAGAAGAACATTATGCTGTATAAACAGCATAATGTACCCACTTTCAATGCTCTGGATAGCAATGAAAAAATAGGAATAAACACATGTTTTTGACAGAAACATTAAAAATAGTAACAAATTAACTAGAAAAATTTCTGTTAGAAAGGGTCTAAAGCAAAGTTGCAAAAGTGTAGCACCTACACTTTTCAAAATATATCTAAATGATGTGTGGAGAAGAAAGTGCTGCAATATGGGTATCACAATCGAAGATGAGAGAGTGTACACAATTCACTTCGCTGACGACCAAGCCATTCTAGTTGAAGACGAGAGTGAATATAGACTATATGCTTAGAAAACTGGAAGAGAAATACACCAAGTGGGACCTCATAAATAATATACAAAAAACTGAGTACTTTAGTTGCACGAGAAAAACCAGAAATACTACAAATTAAAATGGGATCTATAAAATCAACTGAAATCTTTAAATACTTGAAAGTCCAAATAACACCAAAAGCAGGGAGTAACGAAAAAATATGTTCTAGGATTGGCCAAGCCAGATCAGCCACTGACTAGACAATTACATGGATTATTGTGGAATAATAAAATAGCAAAGGAGAATAAATTAATACATATAATAGAATGTATTGGGTTGTACGAATTCTGGTAAATAAATCAAAGAAACAAATCAAAAAAGAAGACCATGGAAATGAACTATTGGAGACGATTTTACCAGCTCACTAGACTTGATAGGGTGAGGAACGAAGATATTCGGAGAGAATAGGAAGTTGATCTAGACATAATAGGCACAAAAATAGTCAAAAAAGATGAACTCCGCCCACTAAAAGAAAACGAAGTAGACCTAGACCATCCTGGAGAGAAGATTTAGAAGATGCAAAATCAGTTTTCCCATATTATTCACCTCTTTTACTACCAAGTGTTGGCAACCTGCGACTCTGGTCTCTTTTTAGACCTTTCCGTGAGGGCCAGCACATACTTTTTAATTATCAAGTTTTTAGTTATCAAGTATACAGGTATTCTTGTTCTTGTTGGACTTGTCTGTAAATAAATACATAGTTTACTGATTAACCCATACCTCAGTTTTCTTTATTTTATGCGGCGAAAAGCCTAAAATCTTGAATACAGAGAGTCTCAATGCTAGCATATTATATGAACATTGCAGACAATAGGTAATATGAAAAATAAGACTAAGAAAATAATGAGTTAACATAAAAATGAAACTAGAATAAACTGAAACCCCGCTGGATGTAATATATTGATATTTCGAATACATTATGAGAAAAAAAACTTTTTAAGAAGCATAAATTGTTGTTTGTTTTGAGTGTTTTCTTCTATTAGTTATCTATTTTGTGATTTTGTGTGGGTCCAGAGTTCATTTTAGCCTGAATGAACAAAACGAACTGACGGCACAGAGTAGAATTTGTCAACTCTAGACCTCTACCTGAGATGAACAGAATGCGGCAAACGTTTTCCAGCAGCTATCAGTAAATCAAAATTGCTCAAAGAATATTATTGTTCGCCAAATCATTCAGTTAACAGGAAAATAGCATATTCGGGCTTCCCGCGGGATTCGTGATTTCTTTCGTGTTTAATTGTGTGTGAAAAATATATTATTTGGAATTGTCTCTTTGAATGTCGACTTTGACCGAAAAAAACGTTTAGATTTATTCGACATCATCGTTCAAAGACTGGTAAAAGAATCACCAGAAGCTAAAAACCTCAATGTTAAGGCCAAAAGATCTTTAACCGATATAGCTTTCTGTAATTTTGTGCTCTTCTTTTCAATTATAGGCCCAATTAAATTTATTAACTGCTCAAAATCTCCACAACTCATTCTAGTGAAATTCTTTAAGTGGATGATGTCCATTTCTCGTAATAATAAATTATCAGTATGGTGTATATACAATTTTTGTATCCACTGACTATGTCATTTGTTCTTCTTTTTGGACATTTTACAATTAACAAAAAAGGCGCTAAAATCTTCTGCTAAAAAAGTCAGTGTTTATTTTTTTATCTAGAAACTTCTAATTTTTGAGAAAAAGAGACTCCAAACACTGCAACATTGTCAACAGCACGATTTTTTGTTCATACTGTTCATTATGCTTATTCCTGTGCACTCAGTTTGTTCGGGCTAAAATGTTCAAGTCTGGACCCACCTTTAGAGATAGCATTATGTATTATTTGTTTCATTAAAAAAAAATCTATATTTTTGAAACTGAAAAAAAGCCATACATTTCTATTTGACAGTGTATTTCATATTATTTTTGATAGTGTTGGGAGGGGAACGAAGAGATATCTTACAACTTCCTAGAATCTCACAGAGATCTCCCACAATTATTTAGGAAATATATGAAATACAGTATTTTAAACACCTCTTCAAAACCAGATATGCATATTTATTTAAGAAATTAGATAAATATGTTAAAAAGGATTGTTTAAAAATGTCAAAGTACTGTTTAACATAATAGATCTCTAATTACATTAAAAGTAAAAAGATCTCTTCTATTTTCCAACCATACTATTTATTTATTTATTTATTTCAACGGTAGAACCATTTACAATAAAATACAAAAACTAGTAAAAAGTGAAGATCATGTACAAAAAACTTCAAAACAACAACAAAGAAACAATTAAACAGTAAAAATTTGTACATTAAAACATTGTATCAAATTACAAATGGTAAAAAAATATCACATATTTAGATTAATTAGACTCTAACTTGCCTTTTGAAAATATTAACGTTTGAACAGAATGGATCCAATAAGATCCAGCAATAGTCATTGCAAGAGCTGAGCATTCTCAACGAGGAAAAATGACAAGCATAATCAGTTCTATGAAAGGGAATATAAAATAGTGCAGTTTGTCGAGTTTTATGTATTGTGTTTAAGTATACATTGGCTAATAACGGGGGACAATTAATAATGTTTATAATTTTAAATAAAAATAACATATCAGCTCTCAACCTGTGGTTCTACAGTGTAGTAATGTTATATTGTAACATTATTACAGAATAATCAATGAAGTAATTTTCAGTATTTTTTTATATTAATATGTGCTTTTTAAAAGCTAAAGATCTTAGAAACTTCTGCTGAATATAAATTGAATCCATCAATGTAGACTTGATGAAATAGGGACCAAACAACACAGCAGTATTCAAGATCTGAGTGTACCAGAGAGCAGTACAATAAATAGAACCAAGATTATGACATCATTTTTCCTTAATTTTAAGAAAATGGCTTCTAAATGTCAACACACAATCCAATAATACACCCAAATCTCTAATAACAGTAACTGAATTCAAGAGTATATCATTAAGAACATATCTATCAGCTATTAGATTATTTATACAGCCAAATAAAATACAATAACATATACTTAGTTGGATTTAAGCTCTATCCAATTTATCATGTATACAACAAAAAAACTTAAGACGCTTAGCAAATAGCAGTAAGTGTGACCTTTTGATAGCCTTACCAATACTGTCGATGAACAAGTTAAAAAATAAGGGACCACAATGAGACCCTTGTGGGACACCAGAACAACAATGAAATTATTTTGCTAATACAGACTTGCTGTGTAAGTCCCATGAGAAAACTTTTAATCCAATTAACAATGGGGTCACCAAAACCAGATGCATGAAGTTTGTGAACCAAAAGGTTATGATTAAAGCAGTCAAAGGCCTTTGAGAAATCAGTGTAAATGCTGCCAACCTGAATTTTATTCTCAAATGCAACCAACAAGTATTTTTGGTAATTGACAAAGTTTGTTACTGTTTACCTCCCGTTAGAAAATCCACGTTGTTCATCAATAATTATGTTTCTGCAAGCCCAGATGAGATTTATCAATACCAATTGATTAAGAAGTTTCGGATTGCTGATTGAGTGGTTATACCTCTTTAATTAATTAATTAACTGTCACATGAAATTTTATTTATATTGAAGTTTTTTTACCAATTATGTCACTTTTTAGACTATTATTGTTAATATTTAATTAAAACTTTCTTGTCTGAAAAATATTTTACAGGTATTGTTAACAAGTGTTGGAAAATTTTAAATTTAGCGCCTTTGCATTTCCGGATATGTCCGCCATCAGAGGCCACTTTTTTGGTCTCCTTTTCATAACGATTAGATTCCCTCTTTTATCTTTTTGCTCGATGGTATTACTTGAAAGATTTGCTTGAACATTCTTTCCCTTAACATCGAAAATTCCTCATATGAGTTGCCTGATGATTTAAACAAAACTGTAAAGTTCAATGATTTAAACCAATTGATAGGAACAAACATATTGATGACATCATATAAAATATGGTAAAAATCTTCTATGAGGCAATTAATATCTGATTTATCTAATACCTTGTTCCAAGGAATTGAGGCTAAATATTCATTTAAAACTTGATAATTACATTTTTTAAAATCATGATAGAAGACGTCATACTTAAGAACCAAATTTAAATTGGCTGCATGTAACAATATAGTATAGTTGAATGATGTTGTGAACTATTCAATAGAATATCAGTTGAAATTGACAAAACTACTATATATAACTGCTATAGAATAGTTGTGAATGAATTACACTTCACTGATTTCTATAATTTTAAGAAATTAGCTGGAGAATTTAACATTTCTCATAACACAGAGAATGACAAAGTAGTGTGGTTAAAAATAAATGTGCTAATGATGGAAAAAAGCCAACCAAATGTAATATTTTACAAAACATCATGGAAACAGAAGGAATTTTTTAAAATACAGTTACTATCTGAGGAAGAAAAAGAGTGAGTACTTCAACATTAGATCCAATGTATGCAACCCTACTTGGAATTTCAATTGAAAAAAAAAAGATTTAATTGGTTGCTTAAACAAAATCATATACCTAAGTCCCATGCACACTTCTATGAATCATTGGTAAGCAATCATAAGCAGAATAATTTTGTTATTGATCTACAAGAAGAGAAAGTTTTGTTCAATCCAGTATAAATATTCTATGATACATTATGTGTTTTTGACATTCATTTACAAATTATCATAATTTTTGTTCAATTTTTGACAATTATTAAACAATTTTATACTGTGGTGCATTCATTTCCTAATGTTAAACTAATGTGTGTTCCATCCCAGAATTTTATTTAATTATTCACAGCTGAAGAAGTAATTTGTTTACTTAAAAGAATTGTTTTTGAGGTACAAAATAAATTATTACAATAAGTATTTGAAAAATGTGTGGTAACCTTATACAAAATATTAAAATTACTGGAACCATGGCAATCTTTAAAATTCGATTATCTCGAAACTTGGTTTTGGAAGATACAACACTTATCATCTCAGGGTGTGATATGAACTATAAAAAATTATTTGTAGAGAAAAAGGTTTGTGCAGAATTGGAAAAAAATTGAGTATGCACCTTTTTTGGAACTGCATATCAGAAAATGTATCAATATTTAAAAATAATATTTGGATTTTTTAATATTTATATAACTTAATAACTAAATTTAATAACTTAATAAAGAAAACAAATAAATTTATTTAAAAAAAATGTAGTCTTCTTTTTACTAAGAACTTGATGGTAGAATCTATATATTATACTTACTTTAAATTGAGTATCAACTTCATTAGTTACTACTGCTCTACATGTAGTATTGTCATCTCTGCTTCTTGCCAAACAAACTGTACCAGGAATTGGAATATCTTCAAACTGTCTCAATGGCATTTTATTAATGTCAGTCATCAGTTGAACTAAAACATCTTCAGTCTGTTTCAGTTGAACTGAAAAGTGACATGGGCCATCATTTACATAGGAAACGAAAACAGGATATTGGCATCCTGGCTCGAGAGTGCAAGCTTTGTAAGTATTAATTCCAGATGAAGGAGCAATATTCATCTGTTGGGTCTGAGCTGATTGTTGTGGTTTCTGCATACTCATACTTAATAGGACAGCTTGTTGTGCTTGAAGGGAAATTGGTTGCATCAAATCTTTCTGAATCAAGAGGTGACACAGATCATTTCCTATAACAAATTTAAAATATTGAATTAAGCTATGAAATGGGTTATTCAAATTATGAAATAATACATTGATACTCCGATAATCTCCCTTTTAATGATTGTGATGAATTTAAAACAATGTACTTAGCTAGAATAATGGATTTGAACCTTTTTTGAGTCCAAAATTGTTGTATTAAAAATTTTCTTGTCTATTGGATCAGTACAACAGACTCAGGACACAGCAGTCATATGGATATATAATTAGTAACTCTGTAAATATGCCTACTTTGTACAATAAGACCAACACATACTGCACATAAATAATGAGAATCCTTGGAAAGGTTTAAAGGACTTAAGAAAAAACATTAAACATTATTGAATATACAGTAGAAAATCACTTACCTTCGAAAAATATTTTAATAAGATAATAATGCGTAGCTTTAGTTAAGATAGAGCACTGGACTTCTCTATATTTAATTTCTTTGGCTAATCTTTCAAAATCTGTTTCATTCCATTCTCCCCCTCCTACACAATGAGCCTCAGCAAAAATGAAACCTGTAGCTAGGGGTGGAATTGACTGCAAAGAACTTAAATTTCCATCGACCGATCTTATTGCTTCTACTGGTAAAATTTCTTTATTACCGTAGTCGACGAAGCTAACCTCAACAAATTCATCAGCCCCAAGAGTATTGTTTATTATCTTTGCCCGGTAATATTTACCATCTTTGTATTTTGCACATACTTGTTTACCAACAGGTAAATTCTCTCGGTTAGTCTTTCCAATGCCAAGTTCAAACTGTTCGGCAATGTGTGCAAGAAACTGTTCTACATAAACGGCTGTATCTTTATCTCTTTGCCCCCAAATTTTTAAAAACGGTCCTTCCTTTTCAACGTATGTTACATATAAATTACCTCTCTGAACCGCATCCATATTGTTAAAGGATTACAAACTAAATTAACTCAAAACACCGGTACTAAATACAACGATAAGCATCTTTTAGACATGTAAAACTTTAATCACAATCTCCGTTCTTCGAACAGGTCAGGTATACAACTTAGCGAAAAGAAAGAGTTCCGGCATGCGCTTGACGGATGACAAGAGCAATTACCATCTGGAAGTGACTACAGGTACGACAAATCCGTAAAAGAATGTACAGATTCATGTGATTTGTGCATTAAATCTGTTTCGTAGAGTCTTGGTTTCTTTAAATAATTCTTGAGAATAAATCCAAATTGTAATGTTATTTTATTTATCTTTAAATTTCAGAAAACAAAAATACGATAGAAATTGAAACGGTACTCTATCATACACAATAATATCAAACCACAAAAGAATCGTAATAAGTTTGTATAATATTGAATATATTTTTGAGTCAAGAGCAGACATTTTCTATAACAAAGATAAATTATTGAATTAAGCGATGACTCAAGTATTTCAAGAGTATAACTCTTATAATTCACTTTAATATTAATAATACATTGAAAACACGGGGTCTAGGAAGAAAAATGGATTTCAATCGTTTTGGTTTTGTATATAAATGTTGTGTACTTCCAACTCTTTGATAACATATTTTATTAGTTAGAGAAAGTATTTAAAGATAAATTACTGACAGTGGCAGTGAACACAATCGAAATCGTAAAGGTGACCTTGGTAAAATTATACATAATTTTAAAAACGATAAGACTTTATCCAAACTCAATTATAGGTATATTATTGTGAAGATGTTAATATTCTTCTTTTTAAATATAAAGTGGTTTAATTTTTTTTAGTATTTATAAAATTGTTAACTATTCCGCACACAAAAAAAAACAAAAAACAATTACTGGTATCGTATCTGTAGACAGATCTAGTACACATCGCCAACTTTATAGACATTATTGGTGGCAAATTTAAAAATTTGTATTCATGGTTAAATTTGATCAAAAGTATCCAATTATTATTATTATACATGATAGATGCGGATGATTCATGGTTTTAGCGTTTCTAACTGTAAAATTTAGGAACGTAATATTGATGTAATTTTATAAAAGATTTAGGAAGGATTGAATCAAAATGATTTACTACTTGAGATATAAGCACTATTTATTAAAAAGGAATTGTTAAATATCAAGAAATGTTATAAAAAGAATGATTGATTACTTACATTGCTTTTTCTTAATGTTTCGCCTAAACACCGACCAGCCTCGCACAATAATAAACGTGAACTGAATACTGAATTGTCTGTTGTCTATCAGTCAGCAACAAAAATAGGTTGGTTTGAATGTAACTTGAATTTACTGTTTTGTAGTAATTACTATTTTTTGTGGTCCAGATGAAAGAATGTTATAATTTGTATCAGAGCGCTTGAGCTATAAGTTTGGAGGAGTGATTGGTAGTGTATAAAATGCGAGACATGCGATGCGGTTCAATGATTTTGAAATTGGTTTGGATATCAAGGAAAGTTATAATACTCGTATAATATTGAATATCTGTTTGCAATTTTTATTAATACAGGACAGGGACGGTTTTAATATTTTTAAACCGAATTTCACATTTTTTCAGTTGTATTAAATGTTTATTTATTTTTACGCACAACAGGCCATTAAGGACTAGGGCATTTTTTTAGAACATAATCGTAATATTAACTAATTACAATTATTTTAAACAAAACTTTAACTTATGTATATGTACAACATTCTTAACTACTCTGAAGGACCTGGTGGACACTATTTCTCCATTCGCTTCTATTTTTCTCTTTTCTTTTCCAATCAATCACCTTCACGTGTTTAAGGTCTTCCTCCACTTTACTAATCCACCTCGTTCTGGGTCTACCTCTTCTTTTGGGGCCGATTAGTTTTCTGGTTATTACTAGTGTAGGCATTCTGTTTGCTGCCATTCTTTCCACATGTCCCAACCATCTGATTCTTTGTGACTTGACGAACTTGGTAATGGTAGGTTCTTTGTATAAAGCCATTAATTCATTGTTGGTTCTTCTCTCCCAACCACCTTCTGTCTTCCGTCCTCCGAATGAGCGTCTCAATATTTTCATTGCCATCTTTCCAGAGTATCCTCTTCCTTCTTATTTAATGTCCATGTCTCACCGGCATATGTTACTGTGGGTCGAATTACTGTTTTATATATTCTGAGTTTACCTTGGCCAGAAACGTATTTTGAGTTCAGTAGGGCTCTTAAACTACCTAATTTTTTATTCCCTTTTGCTATTCTGGCTTCGAGCTTTTTTTCCATTTTCATCGAAAACTACACCCAGGTATTCAAATTTGTCCACCCTTTTAAAACTATAGTTTACCACTTACAGACCTCACCTTAAAGTCTTCTTTTTTCCCTTTTGTCCCTCTCATGATCATATATTTGGTTTTGTCTTCATTTAGTTCCAATCCGAATTTCTGTGCTTCTTCAATGATTTTCTTCACAACTCTTCCTAATTCTTTCTTTCTCGGTTTTTGCTAGGATCGTTAGATTGTCAGCAAATGCCAAGCAGTGGTGTTCATTTTTCATGATCGTTTCTTCCACCTTTATGCTGCATTTTCTGATTACAGTTTTTAACACTAAGTTGAATAATGTAGTGGATAAAGGATCTCCCTGTCTCAAGCCTTTTGCAACCGTAAATTGATTGTGTCATGTGTTGTTGCTGTTGAAAGTGTCATTTTAACTAGCCGGACCAGTTTCTTTAGTATATCCAAATGTTCCATTGCTCGATACATTTTGACTCTGGCGACTCTATAATATGCTTGTCTAAAATTAACAAACAAAACATGCAGGGGAACTTTACTTTCATAACAAGTTGTTTGTATCTCCTTTAATGAAAAGATTTGGTCTACAGTAGATGATCTGTTCTTTCTAAAGCCGGCCTGATACTCATGTAGGATTCTTTCCGTATAGCAATTTAGATTATTTCTCAATATTGTTGTATTTTTATTAATTCTAATTTATTGTCTTTATTATTTATCAAAGGTTCTATATTTATAACACTTACAATTTATTTTAAAGTTTATTTATACTAATTTATCTTACACTAATAATTACATAATTTATTTATACGAACGTTACATTTAAAAAACCCACCGCTATTCTCTTCTGATTGAACTCCAAACGAGAGTTCCGTTATATACCCAATACAGCTGTTAGAATGGAATTTCTCGAAGCCCATGTATGTTGACCTGAATTGTCTCGAACTGGTTTTTATAGCGACCTGTTTCCAGAAGATTCGATTGGTAGGGGACCGATCGTTTCAAATAGGTATTACCTGGAATTTCAACCAGCTGATAAAATCTAGAACATAAAAGTGAATAAACCACATGTTTACAGGTTTTTAATATGACTCATATTCTTACGTAACATTGCCCCCCTCTTAAAAGATGGTTCCTCCTGGAACCTTGTCGGGACTGAAACTGGAACGGCATGCTGGTATAGGCAACTGGATCCTTTACAACTTCCATTTGTATAAAAATGACAAGGGACGGTTTTCTCTCCGCACCAGTAACTATGCGAATTGCAACAGACTAACACCTGGACTTCGGTGTCTTTAAAGAGTTCCTCCACCATATTTCATGTATCATGTAATGACAAGGGACGGTTTTCTCTCCGCACCAGTAACTATGCGGATTGCAACAGACTAACACCTGGACTTCGGTGTCTTTAAAGAGTTCCTCCACCATATTTCGGATAACCCTCCAATCTAATTGGCGGCACTCCAACTTTGGCATGGCTAATTTTTGCACGTCGGACTCTAGTACGTGCTCTCTCAATTGAAGTAAGGCTTCCCATACATCTCGGTAGGTAGGTTGGTCACGGTCAGTGTCTTTTCTGACCAGGTAGAAAAGGTAACGTGATGCATCTTGGAGTTTCAAGGCTTTTCCGGGAGCTGGCACTTGGCATTGAAGTTCTGCAACTCGACCGAAATTCTTTCGAAACACGGATGCCAACCCTGGTGCGTCTTTGATACTGGCCGGGATGGTAAGGGCCAGTGAGTAGTCATCGGGAAGCGCGAATAGGTCTTGTCTTTCTTCAGTGGTAACACCATGTCTTGCTTTACCGGTACCTCCATAGGCACCCATGAATTCCTCAAACGTGAGGTCAGACACATCTTGGACTTGATTTACTTCCACATCTTCATCTACGTCGTGGTCACCTTCGAAAGACGCCAGCCGGTTATGGTGTACTATCGTCGGCTTTGGGAAGGTATGGACCTTCCCAAAACTGCTGCAACTTGGGAGAATAACCTTTTCGCTTCTTGAGATTATAGGGCCAGACTTTGTCGTTCTTCTTAAAACACCGTTTTCGGCTTGCGTATCGTACCGTTTCTTCATTCGGTCACTAGCGATATGAAGATGGGAACGGACCAACTCGTGAACATCGTCCATTCTTCTTCGTATCTCGATCACGTAATCTTCACCTGCTACATCTACTCCAGGTCAACACCCAAACTCTAGATCACAAGGTAGTCGCATCTCGCGTCCGAATAGAACTCTGGCTGGTGTCTGGCCTGTTGATTCGTTAAGAGCAGATCTGTAGGCCATTGTGAAGAACGAAAGATATTGGTCCCAGTCTCGCTGACCATCTTTGTCAAATTCTTGCCAACTGTCCTATTCATCCGTTCTACCATACCATCTGATTGCGGATGATAAGCTGTAGTTCTTGTTTTCTTCATGCCTCGTCTATCACATATTCCTTGGAATAGATCGCTTTCGAAGTTCCTGCCTTGGTCACTATGGATCTCTAAAAGCACTCCAAATCGGCTGATATATTCTTGGATCAACTTATCTGCAACGGTGGCGGCCTTCTGGTCTGAAAGTGCGTAAATCTCGACGCACTTAGTGAAGTAATCCATTACTACCAACATGTACTTGCCCTCCATTTTCACTTTCTGGAGCAATGTCCAAAGCTATTCTTTCAAACGGGATGCCAACATTATATTGTCTCATAGGAGTTCTCCTTTTTCGGCAAGGCCCGTTACCCTGAACCGTCATCATTTTCCAGGACTCGTTTGAGCAAGCCATCTTCCATGAGAAATGAGTCCCACTGTGCCCAATACGTCTTAACTACTGA